AAAAAAACATAAATTTTTTAAAAAAAAAAAAAAAACAAAAAAAAAAAAACAAAAAATTTTTAAAAAAAAAAAAAAAAAGATTAAAGACTTTTTCCGTGAACATGCAACGTCTGTTTTTACACCAAATGTCCTTCTGTCTGTGTTCTGGCTTTTTGATTTGGTTTTAATTGCACTGACCTAAACTTCCTGAAGCAGCCAAGGTCAGACAGTGGAAAGACTTTATTCACAATCGATAAACCCAAACTATTCATCTATTAAAAAGTTTGATCAACAAGGACTGCTTTTAAAAACTGGCGTTCTGTCGAACTTTACACGTCGATGTCTGTCACCTTCACGTCACGCACATGAATATGGCTTGAATATGACGAAACAGAGGGTGCCACAAATAGCAAAGCCCCCGCACTCGCCACACATTTAATTACCACTGACAACTGTATAGCGGATTTGTAATTGGAGATTTTTTCAGTGTAATAGGCTCTCGTTCGCTCTCTCTCTCCTGCCCTTACCACTCCAGTGCTCTAATTGTAATCTTTCCATCAGAGGAAAAGAACACAGCGGGGCGCCTTTGCTTCTCTTGATGATATCTCCGATTGTTCATTTAAATTCAAATTTGGCCAGAAAAAGGGTAATTAGTTGTATTAATAACCCGAAATGACTCGCTTGGTCGGGAGATGAGATGGTTTTTGTTTAGGTGAGATCGGGTGGATATCGGCAGCCCGCTGTGTGAGATGGAGGCCTTGTTGGTGAAACAGGCTGGTGATATGAATAAACTTTGATTATACAACACGAGGTCGTCGCCCCCCATCTAAACACATTTGGCAATCCTCTGGCTGTGTTATTGTCGTTTTTCCGTTTGTAAACAAAGGTTCTTGGGGGTTTGCTGATTTGATTGTGCATGCTGGATTTGGGAATGGGTTTTGTCTGATGCAACTGTGTTACATATTGATGTCAGATTGTTGCATGAAGATCTAAACAGCCTGAGGGCCAAGCCCAGATGGCACTGAAATCACAGATCATCAGTCCAGTGAGGCTCACGCACGCACGCACGCACGCACGCACGCGCGCACACACACACACACACACGCACGCACTCACACAAACACAGACTATTCAGTCAGGATTTTTTTTTTTTATGTTAGGCTTTATTCACATGGTTTGTGATTCACATGCAGTTGCAAGCTTTATGGGTCAGCTACCTTTAACATAGGCTACCTTATGTATGTAATATACCCAATATGACCTTGGGGTCACATATTGGGACCACAAAACCAGTCATAAGGGTACATTTTTCAAATTGAGCTATTTTAAAATCTGGAATCTGATGGTGCAAAAAAAATCAAAATATTGAGAAAATCGCCTTTAAAATTGTCCAAATGAAGTTCTTAGCAATGCATATTACTAATCGAAAATGTAGTTTTGATATATTTGCGGTAGGAAATTTACAAAATATCTTCATGGAACACGATCTTTACTTAATATCTACTAATAATTTTTTGCATAAAAGAAAAATGGATCATTTTGACCCATACTATGTATTTTTAGCTATTGCTACAAATATACCCATGCTACTTAAGACTGGTTTTGTGGTCCAGGGTCACATATATCACATATGTATGGTGCACTGGCAAGTTGTTAATACCATTGTTTTTACCCTGTTGTACCTGGGGAAAAAAGATTGAATAGTGTGTGTGTGTGTGTGTGTGTGTGTGTTTGAGGGGCTATTTCCTTTCTTTTTGGTCATGTGATGACATCACAACTACATGGCTTCTTGCAGTGAATTAAATTTGATAGGCATGCTTTTTTAAATAATAGTAATACTAATACTACTACTAATAATATAGCTGTACTTCAATTTTTTGGTTATATTAATAAGGAAATAAAATTAAAAGAATAATTCATTCGAGCTTATTATAGCTTATTATATACTTTATTTCTTAAAATGTTTTGACATTTAAACACCCAGACTTTTTTGACTATACACTGTGCCAAAAAAGTATTGATTTTTATTATTATTATTTATATATTTAGTTTCAATGAACTCCAACTTTTTTTTTTAGTTGTGTAATGTGTTTAGAAATTCAGAATTATCATCAATCTCAACTGCAGTTTATTTGAAACTTATATGGTGTAATTTCAACCTCAGAGTGTGAAAGTTTAATGACCACATGTACCATTATGAAGCTGCGCTAGGTTGCTCTGAACTAAAGTCATATGCGATTGATAGAATAATGTCAGTAAATGTGTAGACATTGATAGGTTTGAGTGGGTGTCGTTCTCGCAGTGAGCGCCAGATGGCAGCCGCGCCATTTGCGACCAGCGCTTCTGACGTCCCCGAAACAAAGAACACGTTCAGATACTGTAGCTAAAACACACACCATTTTGTGAAACCTTCCTTTAAAATTGCCTACATAATTTAGACAATCAGTAATGCTGATAAAAAAAATACAAATGGAACGTCTTTAAGATGGTACATGTTCAGATATAAACACCTAATAATCAGAAATAACATGGCTGAATTATTATTATTATTATTATTTATGAGCTTGTTCTCATTAGCAGGGATATGTTTCTAAAATTAAAATTCTCATATATTTAAAAACCATAATGTAAGATTTTGCAGATTACATTTGAAAATTATAATATAATTTTGTTATAGGCTACTCTAAAGTTTTACTTTTCATTTATAAGAAAATCATTCTTAATAAAATCATTCACAACTGCTTTAACATTCATTTAGAGCTGGGAGCTCTTATATAACCGTACTTTTGAAAAATATTTCTGGTCTAGACCCCAGAGTAGCTTCACATGAGCTAAAAGTAGATATAAAAAATTGTACCGCGTAAATAAGTTTAACAATTAACTATAAGTTTATGCGCTTGAAAATCACAACCCTTTCTTTGCTCTTGTTTTCTCAAAGTGCTTTTTGGACCATCAGTCTACACTATTAAATAACTGCTAATTTAAAGGCAACATTAACCAATGCACATAATCGATAACCAACATAATGGCATTCTCATAATCTCAGCTGGTTATTATTCACTCATTCCGATTACACATTACACAATTCTGCTGATGCCCACAGGTACCGCATGCAATTGTAATGTAATGAAAAAGTCACTGACTTTTACCTTCCCATAAGCATGCTTGCATAAATTCATTTTCTCTGTCTGTCCACACACAATAAAAGTTCTAACACAACCGCAGCATTATAGAAGCATTAGAAGATGAGAAAAAACCCATCCCTACACAGGCGAGAACAAACAAAACAAGGTAGCAGCATGTCAATTAAATTAAAGGGGGAAGCTAAATGAACAAAACGTCAAACGCACATATTAAAGCTAAATGAAATAGCCCCGAGGAGCCTGCGAGACGTGCAGATTAGAGCTCAGGAGGATCCGCAGAGATGTAAATAATGAAACCCAGCTCAACCTGCACACGCTGGGATTGCAGCATGGACACGAGAGACGTTCAGCATCCAAACCAAATACCAAAAAAACAGGCTCTTCAGCTCCAAACATGTTGTTCATCTAGAAATGAGTTGAGCTGGCTGCCTAAATTGTGTTAGTGAAAAGCATGACCAGCACAGCAGGACTGTGCAGTGCGTTAAAAACCTGAGGATGTGAGTTTTTCATGCAGCTTTCTGCAGCAGATTATCTTATTATACGATATGGCTTATGGAAGATTAATAACATCGGCATAAAATATGTGGCGTTTTAAAGATCTTGTAAGAATATTAGGTGTTTCAGCTCCTAAGGACTGTCTTGTAATATAGCACAGTATGAATTGTTTTTATGTCCTGTTTTGTTGCTGTTAGCAGAGAATATACTATTTAAAGTCAACTTGTCATTCACAATTTTACTTGCGTAATGTGACATATTTATCAGAGTGAAACAGGTTCTTGATGAAAAAAATGTAGGGTGGGATTTTTATTTTTATTTATTTTTTTAACCCAATAGTTCTCAACAATTTGGACTCCAATACAATATTTGAAGGCCCTTCAATCAAAGCATATATTCACCTCTGGTACTTTGACTGTAATAAAAAATGAAATAAACTAAACAGATTAAATCTTAGTTCAGTGCTGTACATCTTTATTTTTTTAGTGTTTTTAAAAAGCATTTTAATTAAGATTGATAATATAATCTACACAATATTAAGGGTTTTATTATTATTATTATTATCATCATCATCATCTTAATAATCAACCTTACCTGGGACTACAGATAAAAATTAGCCATCCTAAATCTGGCTGATTTGATGTTTTATTAATTTGTATTGTCCCTGTATTGTATTGGCCTAAATAGCTGTTTGACTGTTATCCAATAGCCTGCATGGCCGCAGTGATGTCATCATAAAAGGAAAGTCGTTTCAGAGTATGAGCAAGATATTCGATTTTAATTAAAGGTAAACTATTCACTTTGGAACAATATGCACTGATAAATTATTCACAGCGAGACTAGGAATGTGCATGTTTTGATGGCAAAAAGATATTTACTCTCACTCATATCAATCCAAACATGTAGAACTATGTTCTGTGGAACACAAAAGATTGTATTTTGAGAAAAGTCTCAACTACTGTTTATTACTATTATTATTTTTAAATAAGGAATGTCAAAGTGGTGCAGGGTTGTTTTGTACCCTATTGACTTTAAGTGTATGGCCAAAAACCATTCTTTGAATGAAAAATGTAAAAAAACAAAAAACAAAAAAAAAGTACTCACCCTCATGACATTCCAAAAATGTAGTACTTCATTCTGTGGAACACAAAATATCATATTTTGAGAAAGGTCTCAGTGTTTTGTTGTGT